GCACACACAAATTTTTTTTACACATACAAATCTTTTTTACAAGTACAAAACCAATTTACAAGTACAAAATATTTATGACCACATTTTGAGCCCATACAGAAGTCTGAGCTTTTAAGTACAACAGCTCACAATCAATAAAAAAAAGTATTATATTGGAGAAAACAAGCAATGCAAATACTGTGAATTTACAAAATGATTTATCCAGCTATAATGTGTCTAGACCCTACAGCCTTGATTCAGTGTCGCAGAGCAAGTTTTGCAGCCATCGCCCTCTTTAATCAGAACTTTCCATCATGTCTGATTGCATGCTCAATCAATATTCTTGTCTTGGAATCTTATGTAATCACCCAAATCAGCACTGTGCCACACAGAAAATTCAGCGTTGAACTTTGCAGGCATAAAACTCTGAAAAATATCACATGATTATTATTAACAAATTCCTCTTTCAAAATGTTTAACCTGCTGCACAGATTGCAGTCTCATGACAGTGCCGTTTTCTCCAACTCACCTGGCTTGTCAAAGGAGACTTCTTAAAAAATAATGTTCTGTGTCAGTCTGACAGGTTGACCATGAATCTTTTAATATTTTGTCATTTTCAACTTTCGGTGTGTGATGAGAGAATATTTTTTAAAAAGGTGTTTCATTTGAGTCTTACTTTGACTTATGATGCAACTTGATGAAACATACATCACTATATTTAATTCTGCCACACTTGATTTCAACTACTTGGGAAGTTGAGACGTTACCTGCTGTATTTAAGCAATAATAAATGAACCATATCATTGTTTGTATTTTCAGAAAATTTTAGGATTTTTGTGTTTCGACTGATCCAACAAACTTATTTTTCTGTGGTAATTGTAATTATTCATATTTCTGTTTCTTCTCCACTCTTTTTATCTTTCACTCACTAAAGATTTATATTAAGGTCTAGTTTATGACATCCTATGTGGTCATTTTTTAAGAAATCCTTTATTTAGGGGCTACCTTTTACTACGTTCAAAGCAAAGGTGTGCATTCTTCACAGTAAATACACATATAGAGACAGATGACAAACTGAAATAACATCAAGTTCTTTATGATGGTAAGGTTATGGGCTACCACATGCTGTTAGAGCAGCTACACAGTGCACTGGCATTGATTCTCCATTTCTCTAAAACTCTGCTGGAGGGCTTGAATACCATTCTTCCAAAGGTTACTCCTTATTTGGTGTTCTGATGATGGACTGTGTAGTATTGCGTTCATATGGGTTGGAAAAAAAAGACCACAGCACAAGAGTCACATTTTCATAGTCATGAAACCGTTGAGTTGCCAACTGCAGCAGCCCCCCACAGCAAAATATATCTCACAGCAAAAAACGGGAAGCAGATCCATTCAGTAACTTTAATTTTTCAACCACCTGCAGTAGACATTACAATGTATATCTGTGTGCATGTGAGTCAAGAAGATTTTTTTTTGATGAAGACACAAGAAGTCAAGAAGCTATCAAACCATTTTCAATCTTGTGTATTATCTTGGTAAATTTTCTACAGAGTGTTTTCATTTAATTTTACCATGACAACCACTAGTTTTTGACTGCAGATATGTGGTTTCATATAGTCACATTATAGCCCAGAGAAAGGCTATGCAGAATCTTTTTAAAGTCAAATATTTTCTTACTGAAGTGACTAAGCAATGACCTCCATCTTTCTTAATCATGTGACGACACCCGACACCAGTGTTGAAAACTGATGCTTGTATTATTCTCAATCCTTTGATGGCTGTTTTGAGCTTCCCACAGCTTTGACTGGCTACTGACTTGCAACTGAAGTTCCTTACAAATTAATGCGCATCTGTGTATTTAATATTCACAGTAATATATACTATTACATGGCTTGACAGATCTTTTCTGCTTGTTTGTTGTTTATTGGATTGGATGGTTGAAGTCTGAAGAAACAAGACATATTGGAAAATTTAACAATTTTATCATTTAACAAACAGGTACCTCAGTAGCATGTGTAAGAACCATACACAGCCACAACAACACATTGTGGCACCTTCTCCTCTGCTCACCAGCTGGTCACACACTGCTGTGGGATGGCATCCCATTCTTCAACCGGTGGTTGTGTCGGTCACTCCGGCACGAACAACACACTCAAGTTAATCCCAGAAATGCTATTTGCACCTGACTGTCAGCACCTGGGTCACCAGAAGCTCAAAAAGGAGTCAGCAGCAGAATAAGCTGTCTGACAAGTTTTTCATGGGTGAAACCCACATATTTAACTCTGCTGCTCACCCTACAGAAGCACTGTCCTCACTAACATGGCACCATTTAAGGTGAAATAAATATTTGATCCCCCACACCTCATCCAAATTCTGGCTCTCACAGATTGGCTCTGTGTCCACGTGGTACACAGATTACAATCAATCAGATCAATCAATTACAGATACTCGTGAGCTCAACTCATTATGTGTATAAAGAACACCAGTCCACAGGATCAGTTTGTTCAATTTCAACCTTTTCATCACCATGGAAGAGAACAAAGGAGTGTCAAAGGACCTCAGGGGCAAGACTGTAGACCTGCACAGGGCTGGAATGGACTACAAGACCATCAGCAAGAGGCGAGAACTGTTGGTGCAATTATTAGGAAATGGAAGAAATATCAAATGAAAATCTGTTGCCCTCAATCTGGAGCTCCATACAAGACCTTACCTCATGATGTGAGGAACATCATGAGAATGGTTGTGGATTGGCCCAAAACTACACAGGTGGAGCTCTGTATGATCACAAGGCAGTTCAGACCACAAGCAGCTAGAACACTGCTGGAAACACACTATGCTGTAATAGACTGATATCTTGCATGACCCGCAAGCTCCCCCTGCTCAAGTAGGCACATGTGCAGCCCTGTCTTAACATTTTTTCCCATGAAAATCTAAATGATTCAGAGAAAGAGGTGCTGTGATCAGATGAAATCAAAATTTAGCTCAAGGTTATCAACTTGTGCCATGATCTCCATGCCCATATTGGGATGGCTGTTTCATTACCTGTTTTTAAAACACAACTTAGGACTCAATTTTATTCCCTGGCTTTTAACTGGGAATGAGAGTGGTGTGTTCATTACTGTTATTATTATTATTATATTGCTGTTGCTGATTTATTGTTTTGTGTTTTGGTGATTTGGTGTGTCTTTATTAAGAAGATTGGACAGGATGGATGGATAAAACTTACCCCACTGACCCATGGTGAGTATGACCAGAAGAGCACCATTCATACAGTAAAGCACGGAGGTGGAAAAAACATCCTTTTCCTTGTTTGTCTGCTAAGGGCACAGGATGACTTCACCACACTGAGAGGCAAAAAGGCAGGGCCATGAGCTGTAAAATCTTGGATGACAATCTCCTTCAGTCAACCAGAAAACTGAAGGTGAGTCTTCCAACATGACAGGGATCCAAAACATAGCCCCTAGGTAACAAGGAAGAGACTAAAAAGGAGCAGATTAAAATCCTGGAGTCTCCAGACCTCGGTCACATAGAAAACCCATGGAGGAAGCTGTTGCTTTGAGTTGCCAAGTGGCAGCAAGAAACTTAAAAGATTTAGTCCCGTCTGAGATGTTACCACTGTGCTCACCACCAAGGTTTTCTCCACCAAGTACTAAGTAATGTTTTGCTTGGGGATGAAATGAATTTATAATGGAATTTATAATTGAATTTATAATTTTTATGCCTTTTTTTTTCCTGTTTTGTGTTTGATATTCTGTCTCTCGCCATTTAAAAACCACTCCGATAAATTTCTTATTTCTTTGTGAACACACCTCCCCCCCTTTCTCTGTCATGTGATATATATCACATACACACACACACA